TAATTATTTCACTCCATTCTATGAAGTCTCCACACATTCTGCTGCAAGTCTTGAGGTGCTGAGTCATCAGTTAGTTGGAAACAGGCAAGCACAGGAGTGAGCGCTCCCTTAATGGGAACTACTGCAACCATATTGATAGAGCTTGTACAAAAAAAGGTGGCCAAGAGATGCTACAAATGAGTAAGTCCCCAGTCTCTTAGACACGGCCCCGCCCTCCTCAATCTGCAGGATGGTCGTAAAACAGAGATGGGGAACTTGTGGCCTTCCAGATCTTGTTTGGCCACAGCTCCCAGAATCCTTGACTGGCTAGGGTTGCTGGGTGTTGGAGTCCACTAACATCTATAGGACTGCAGGTTCCTTGCAGGGATTACAATACAATAAGGAAAGCGATCATGGATGGATTTTAAAGGAGATTGACCTATTCATGAAGGATAAGGCTATCAATAGCTATCAGCCTTTGAAGCAAAAATGGAAGCCTTCATGTTCAGAGGCAGTAGTGATGGGGAGAACAGCAATGGCTTTCATTCCCTGCTTGTGGGTACCTTAGAGTCGTCTGGTTGGTAGCTGGATGCTTTGATCCAGCACTCAAAGTAATATCTACACGCTAAGTATTACAACATTAAAAACAAGCAGCACATCTTGACTAGTTGCCTGAGAGAAGCCAGGCAGTACTGTTATGTCTACACTAAGATACCTATCACCATCTCATCGTAATGAAAGGCATGGACTTTGACCAAAAAGCCCTAAAATGTCTAGATGCATGGTAAGGAAGAAAGCTTGGGCTGAATCCAACATCCTGCCACACAATGACTTCTGCTCATGCTATGGAACTTCTTGCACACTCCCAAACATTTGCTTTGGAGGGTTGTAGGGAAACCCAGAGCAGATAATTGAGGCTTCAGGGAGAGTGGCCATTGTGCAAGCAGATATTCTGCTTGTTCGATTACACGTTTAGATGCAGTTGCTTTTTATTTTCATTATCTCTAAGGTGAAAAGGTGCAGCCCATGATGCAGCTGACCGAGGGATGCTTTGGATGACACTACAGCCCAACACATAGAAGGGAGCACATCCACACAGATTCTCACTTGCCCACCTTGCATGTTGTTCCTGTCTCCACCACCCTCACCTCTGCATGCAGGGACAGACGGCCAAATGTCTGTCCCCACTGTTTGACAGAGCTGTTTGACGGTGGAGCCATCTCCCTCAAGAGGTTGTGGACTCTCCTTCCTTGGAGGTTTTTAAGCAGAGGATGGATGGCCATCTGTCATGGATGCTTTAGCTGGGATTCCTGCATTGCAGGGGGTTGGATGAGATGAGCCTCAGGGTCCCTTCCAACTCTATGATTCTTTGTTTATTTAGGCATTTTTTTGCACCATCCAACCAACTGGTTCTTTGGGTGGGTCACAATTTAAACTCAATGACACTCAACCCTCTCTGTTCAGAGGCAGGCAGCATGCTTCTTATTACCATGGCTGTGAAAAATCTCTTAAGTGGAAGCAACTGAAATAAAGCATTCAAGGACTGGATCTTTACGCCTCCAGTGGCATTTATGAAGAGTCCTGCTGGATTGTACCAAAAGTCCATCTAATCCAGCATCCTATTTTCACAGTGGCTCACAGGAAGCCCATACACAGGGTGTGAGAGCAACAGCACTCTCTCCACTTGCAATTCCCAAGAATTGGGAATTCAGAGGCATATTGTCCTTGACACTGGAAGTGTTACGTGATGGCTAGTGGCCCTTGCTAACCACATCTTCTGCAAATCTGTCTAACCCAGCATTTCTCAACTTGTGGGTCCCCAGATGTTGTTGAATGACAACTCCCATCACCCCTAGCTAACAAGGCCAGAGCTCAGGGATGATGGGAGTTGCAGTCCAACAACATTTGGGGACCCAGGAATGGCTGTGGGCAGGATTCCTGCATTGCAGGGATTCGGACAAGATGACCCTCAGCATCCCTTCCAACTGTACAATTCTATGATTCTGTGAACTAATGGCACAGAAAGGCCATTATGTTCAGTGTGTGTGTTTCTTAGCTTCCATAGGCACATAGACTGCAAGAAGAGCAAACCTCTCCATTCTTAAGGAAATCAGCCCTGAGTGCTCACTGGAAGGACAGATCGTGAAGCTGAGACTCCAATACTTTGGCCACCTCATGAGAAGAGAAGACTCCCTGGAAAAGACACTGAAGTTGGGAAAGATGGAGGGCACAAGGAGAAGGGGACGACAGAGGATGAGACGGTTGGATAGTGTTCTCGAAGCTACCAGCACGAGTTTGACCAAACTTCGGGAGGCAGTGGAAGACAGGAGTGCCTGGCGTGCTCTCGTCCATGGGGTCACGAAGAGTCGGACACGACTAAACAACTAAACAACAACAACAGGCACATAGAATGCAGGAGCACAGAGAGGATGGCCTGACCCAACAAGGTAATTTATATACTTAGGGCAGCAAGGGGCACAACACCCTCTCCACTGAGGTCAGGGTGGTCCCACTGCGGTCCTCTTGCACCATATCACTCCTGCATCACGAGGTATCATGTGCCCCGTGGTCCTTTTTCCTGCTCCTTGCTGCCTCGAAACACATGTCCTTGGGTCTAAAGTTCCAGGCTTTAGTGAGTAATGATGGAACAGGATGCTGACTGCGGTACAGCTTGATTGATGATTTTGCAGTACAGTTTCCACATGGTTTTGATGCAAACGCAGGTGAAGCAGTTTTGAGCAGGGCTCACTTTGGAAGGCAGGCTTCGTCCAAGCCGCACTAGCTCGGGGGGGGCGGTCCTCGACAATGATGGTGATCACAACAAGTATAACAGTACAAAGGGGAGGCAAAAATATCGGCACAAATACCTTCAAGGTCAAAAATGCCAAAATGTGCATGGATCGGTGACTCTCTTTAGCGAGAAGAAATTGCCGGGGCTAAATGCCATTTATTCAATAAGAGAAGAAAAGCTTTAAAAGTCATATAGCACGCTCCACTTCTAGAGGGTGCATCAATTCAGACTCATTTTTTGCTCAATATGAGAGATGGATAGTATAAGCAATAGCTACGCAGCTTAGCTTTATACAACCACAGCTCAGAGGTTATTATTTCAAGATTGTTACCCTGAGGTAACAGCCCCTGTCCCCCCAGACAATGAATCCAAAGGGGTGCCGCCACATCCATCTGCTCACTATCTTGCAACATTCACACATTATTGGCTGAATCATATATAAGCCATTCCAAGGTTTCGCCATTCCAGAGTTCACATACTCCCTCCTCCCCTCAGGCAATTCCCTCTCCTTCTTGTTTGCCAAGTGATAGTTGGCTGTTACACTATGACATTTGCCAGCTGTGGACACCTTGACCAAATTGTGGTTTGCACTCCTGGTGCAAATCTCAGTTTACCACCTCAGATGTAACAGCAAACTATGGTTTGCCCAGAACATCCCCCCTCCCCGTCCCTGCATATAAAAGTCAGGGAGAGAAGTCAGTGCACACTAAGCAAAGAGAGAGTGTGATCCTAAAACTTGGACTGGAAGGTGAAACCATAGTTTGACCATTATGTCCCAAGCTGTCCACTATCTTTTTGTATGAAATTGTGGTCTATGCCCTTGCAATATTTCCCAGAAAATAACATCTGAGGATAGAGCTGAGCTGAATTAATCCATGGAGCTATGAATTGTCACATGGGCTAGGGAGGGCTTAGACAGCGTATACAAAAGGGAATCTGACTGAGGTTTTGCTCAGTTGGGTCAGGGAGCATACCTGGCCTTGGAATGGAGAGCACAGAAAAGGTACAGCTCTCCTGTTCACAAGGCTAACCCTGTAGGCCAGCTCAAGAACTGCACAACTCTTTGGAACTTCTAAAAAGAAATAAATAGTCTCAGGGGAGGGGGCTTTCTGCCCAGCACCCTGGGAGCACTGCTTGGTATCTAGGGAGGTTGAAATGGTTTGGATCCCACTGAGCACCTGATCCAGGTGGGAAACTGGAGGTTTGACAGTTCTGTGACCAGAATACTACAGCATCATATGATGCCCCAGGTTATCTGGGGTTGCGAGGACTGGGACTGGATGTGGACTGTGGGGAAGATCATTAACTCTTCCAAAAGTTATGGCTTTGCTTATGTTGGAAATTGATTCTATGAAAACCTCCTCCTCTTCAGCGCTGGATTTAGGGTGGTGTGGGCACAGGGTGCCGAGCGAAAAATAAAAACAACAACAGGTTTTGTAACAATGTGAAGTTTCGGCGAACCTATTGAGAAGATCCACAAAAGGCAACTGTACTAAAAGGAATTATTGTGAAAATAAGAATTATTGGGGTGGTTTGGTTTTTTTTGCCAAATTTTGTCCTTGCTCAGGGTGCCATATTACCAAAGTCCATCCTGTCCCCCTTTTTATATTGTTCTTCAATTGTTGCTAACTAGCATTGCAGGATGGAGTGCATCTATTATATAGAAATTAGTTAAATGAATAGCACAGGGAAACACTGTTCATTTCCACTTTAATTTGCCAGGTGGAAAACTTCTCCCCTGTTCCATATGCAAATTTCAAGACGATAATTGGTGGTTACAAAAATGTGGGTGAGCTCTCTTCCAGATTTGAGCTGAGTGCCCTAATCTTGTGCGGGGCTGCTGATTGTCAAAATGCCTCCGCTACAGATTCAGACTGAAGTGAGTTCAAGGGTTCACACGGGACATCCTCTCAGTGGTTTATGGTTAACGACTATCAGGTTTAGTCTAGCATTGCAAGTAATTTCCACTTCCTTCTCTGAAGGACCCTCTTACTGAGAAATACAGGGTAATGGAGAAGCAAAGTGGACCAAAAATCCAACACACTGTTAATCGTGTTCAAGCCCAATTCTTTATTTTTGTCAAGGTCCTCTCAACAAGGGCACCATGCTGATGAATGGCACTCTAGAAGCAAACAAACTATTGATTGATTTTCAGTGAATTTGGGAGCACCTAATTTTGTGCTAGATTGTGGCCTTAGGGTTGATCCTGAGACACATCTTGTGGTTCTCCATTTAAAGCAGCCTTTCTCAACCTGTGGGTCCCCAGATGTTGTTGAACTACAACTCCCATCATCCCTAGCTAGCAAGACCAGAGCTCAAGGATGATGGGAATTGTAGTCTAACAACATCTGGGGACCCACACGTTGAGTACCGCCAATTTAAAGGGTCTACAAGAGCAAGGAAGGATGTAGCAATTCCATTATGCCCTTTAAACATGGAAAGAAGCTGTTTGTCCACCAGCAGATCAGAAGTGGTACGAGTGCTGTATCTAAAGGACCCAACTATACAGGTGGGGCTTATCATCTGGGCAGTCTGCAGCCTGGAAACTTCACAACAGGGGGGAGGGGGCTATATCCCACTCTAAGATTCACCATGGGGGCTGAGCAACCCCACCCTGGCTGATCAGGCAAAATCATGTTGAAGTAGTCATGAGATGGATAGGTGCACCTCTAGATTTCATCGGCTGACAGCATGGAAAAGAGCTATGGCTCAGTGGCAGAGAGCATCTATTGAGCATGCAGAAGGTCCCTGGTTCAATCCCCGCCACCCCCAGGTAGGGCTTGGAGAGACTTCAGTCTGGAATCTACATTGAGTGTAGACAAAACTGAGCTAGAGGGATCAATGGCCTGTTCTGTGTTGTGGTGTCTTGCTTGCTGTGCCTTGGAAGAAGAGCTTTACTGTGAAGGAAGGAATTGAGCTGGGAGCCATTATCTAGAGAGAGTTAAGACAGAGTTGAGGTTGAGAGTGAAGCAGTCATGTCCTGCACAGGGAGATTCTAGTTCTTCTGCTATTCTATAATATTAAGCAAGTGTGTCTTCTCCGTAGAGCTGGAATGGCTTTTTGAAAGTTGATTTTAATTTAATAATTACGATATGATAATCTTTATTGTCATTGTCCCATACAGAACAACAACATCGAAAATCTACATCAGACATTCAAAAACCAACAAGCCTGCTATCCCAGCTATCCCAGCCTGGTTAGCCCCCTAAAAACTCTGATACCCCATAATTAAATACAATATACTCCCATAGAGACTACCTTACACTGTGTTTAAAACCAAAATCGCATTTGGATAGAAACTGTTTCTCAGGCAATATTATTGTAAGGTCATACCCCACCTCCAGTATGCCTCAAAATATTTCCAGGGTCCGTGCCCCTGTCTCAGGCTACTCATAGGTTCTGTGGCTCCCAAGAAGATGGGGAAAACTCTTAAGATCACTTCATTCCTCCTTTGGACCCTTCACCCAGCAGGAGGGCAGGTGGAGAGCAGGCAGAAGTATGAAGGGAAAAGCAGAGTGTCTCTATTGTGGCCACATCTGCACCAAATGTATTTAAAGCATTATGATACCACTTTAACAGTCTTGGCTTCCTGCAAATGACCCTGGGAACTGTAGCTGCTAAGGGTGCTGAGAGTTGTTGGGGGGCCCCATTCTCCTCACAGACCTACATTCAATTGCTCTTCAAAGGAAACTCTGGAAACTGTAGCTCTGAGCCCTCTGAACAAACTACAGCTCCCAAGATTCTTTTGGGGAAACTGTGAGTGTTAAAGTGGTATCATAGTGTTTAAAATGTGCAGATGTGGCCTGTGCAGATGTGCTGCTGCTCACGGGTTGAAAAGAGACAGGTGTCCAGGTTGACATGTGACAACACTGCTGACGCCTGATCATCCCCAAGCTTAACTTCCGAGATAACACCACTCATGCCCTAATCAGTCTCCCAAACTGCGTATACGCCTAAAATAAATGTGTGAGTGTTTTAGGGCTGTGTTAAAAAAATACAGTTCTAACCAGTTGAGATTGCATATGGTTTTTTTAAAGTCCAAATTAAAGGTGATTGCTTCAGTGTCAATTAGGCCTCACCACTTTATATCAGAGGTATAGCCCTTAATTAAGATCTTGCAGAGATGATGGGCTGTAATTTATTCCCAATCTTATTTTAGCAGCGCAGTATTTTTTTTTTTTTAAGTCCCAACTGGCTGGAGAAATTTAGGATGGAATAAAATGAGCATTAATTTATAACTGTTCCTGGGACGGACGATACTTAAAGAAAAAGAGAGAATGATCTCGCACAAGGACAATTAAAGTAGTTCTTGATGTCTCCTATTAATCCCTTCAGATGCATAACTCTTTATTCTGTTTCTGTGCAGAGTGCTGAGATTCCCTTTCCTCCTCCCCCTGCCTACAAACCTTGCTCTATCTTTTATAAGCTCTTTTTTTATGCACTAGGTTCACAGAGGACTGGTAGGTGGAGCCCTTTGAATAAGGAACTAGTCTTTTTACACAAAGGGTGATATGCTTAGAATCGGTGATATCGCCCATTTATTCTGCCCTAGTCAGCAGGGCAACCTATCTGTGCTCAGCAGAAAAAAAGAGAGAGGGACTGTGGAAGAATAGAATAAATCATTTTGAATGAATGTGTTAATCTGTTGACCCAGCATTTGTTAGTCACCTGGAGCTAGGTGCTGAAATACTGAGACGGGGAAAGGAAGGAGCCAAAGGCTACGGGGTGGTTGGGGTGGCAGAGCAAAGGGGCGAAGCATGATCTCACCGAGTGATATTTATATAGTGATTTTGAGGGTCTTCACTGTCGTCGCTGTTTAAAGGAAGCATAAGGTGCATGCAAAAAAAGGAATACGCTATCAGGCCAGGTTCCCCGAGGTGCCATTTGTTCTCGTGACAATCTGTAGAAACGGCTAGAATTGCCAGGCTCCTAAGTAGCATCTGAAGAAGAGAGAGAGAATGCACACAAGGAATGGGGGTAGCCCATTTGGATGATGAACAGACGTATTTTACAATCTTTTGCTTTATGCACAGATATATCTCTCTTTGCTTCTCCTTCCTTTCTTATTCATCTCTCTCTTCTGGTAAAAATGCGCCCAGGCAAAGCATAAAAACCACCACAAATTGCAGTGGGATTGCGGCAGAAACTGTGGCTATTTTTTAACCAAGGGGGAAAGTTAGATCTATAAACTTGGGATATGAACGCCTCACTTCTTAATCCTAGGTGCACCTGTGTGGGTGAGTGGGGTAGTGAGTCAGCAGTAAGTGGAATATATTCTGCATATGCTCAGGCATGCTTTATGTACTACTTCACTCACAATCAGCTCCAGAGAGGGCGTGGAAGTTGGGGAAGATCATGGCTCCTGGAAAACAACTGGGAACTCATGGATGGAAGAGGAAGCTGAAAACCACCAATGGAATGCATAGTCTTTGCTTCTCCCATAGTTCCTTGTTCTTAAAAGTCTGCTTTTATCCTGAGTGTAAAATGGGTAGGATCACAGAATTGTAGAGTTGGAAGGGACCCAAAGGGTCATTGAGTCCAAACTCCAGCAATGCAGGAATTACATCAAAGTAGACTCATAGGACTTAAGAGGACTCACATACATTCTGCTGCCCAGAGTCCCTTACATCTTGAAGCTACCTTGCATATTTCTGTACTGATTCCAGCCACCGAAAATAAGTTCCAGAACTAAGTACTGGATCAAAATAAGCCCAAACTGGAACCATAAAATATTGTCCCTCTATCACATCTATGCATGTTATAATATAACACTACTAGTAATTTTCTTTATTTCAAGCTGAAAGTAAAAAGACAGAGAAAGACAATTTATAATCTCATTTCTTTCCTTTTCCCCTCAATGCCAATCTCCTTGGCTTATGTTGGCCAAGAGAAAGTAGCAAATGTTCTGGAAAGGGAGAAAGGGAGAGCAGAAACTGAACTGGAAATGTTGACCCACAACAGCCGAGAAGCAGACGGGTGGGTCATTAGCCAACTGGCCTGAGATGTCAGCGTTCATCTACAGCTCTTCAGGCTGTGGCATGAGCAGCAGTACGGAAGCTTCTCCCGTGCTGCTTACACATTTCATTTTTTGCTGTCTTCCTGTCTGCTAAAATAAAAGGAGGTGGAGAGAGGGAGAGGAAGAAAGAACTGCTAATTTATAAGGCCTGAAATAGCAGCTGCTAATGGGCTTTTGCACTCGTTCCTTAGTCACCGCAAGGTCACAGTCAGAACTGGCCTATGTTTGATTTTAAAGCAAAACCCAGTTTTTCACATCCATAATTGACATTTATTAAAAACATACACACAATTGAGCTTCTGAGAGAGAAAACAAAAAGTGACATTTTCATACATTCTGGCTTCTGTCCCCGATAAATCACTGTCCCAGTTTTGCATTTCCTGGCATATTTAGGGGGATGCCTTTCAGAAATTGTGTTAGCATCCACAGTTTTCCCTCCTGCATCTCTCTCCCTCAGGCCACACACCCCACCACTACTTACTTCACACCTTCATTTAGTGTTTTTGCCCGTCTAGAATGTGTCCCCATAATCCAGTAATGACTCTGGCTTCCTGAGCAGAAGACAGAGAGGTGTGTGCGAAAAAACTATCCTATTGTACAAACCTAGCAGTTCAAAAGCACATCAAAGTGCAAGTAGATAAATAGGTACCTCTCTGGTGGGAAGGTAAACGGCATTTCCATGCGCTGCTCTGGTTCACTAGAAGCGGCTTAGTCATGCTGGCCACATGACCTGGAAGCTGTGCGCCAGCTCCCTTGGTCAATAAAGTGAGATGAGCGCAGCAACCCCAGAGTTGTCCGCGACTGGACCTAATGGTCAGGGTTTCTTTACCTTTACCTTACATTCATTGCTCCACCCACTTTTGCCTCTGGCCATACCCACTCCTGCAATGTGGCCCCCTATAGCTTGCCCAGAAGGGAATGTGGCCCTTAGACTTAAAAATGGTTTCCCACCCCTACTGTAAATGTCTGTGCCTGAACACTGATACTGACCACAGAGCGCACAGTCTTCCATTTCATACAGTGCAGTTACTGAGATTCATATCTGAACAGTTGCACAAATATATTACAGAAGAAGAGGAGGATTACAGGTAAGCAAGGTTGCCCCTATTTTCATTTGTGAAATGTTAAGAGGGTATGCATTTTTATACACCCTTGCAGTCTTGGAAAATCTGAAGGGTGGAGCGATGCCCAATTAACTTTTGATTGCACCTCCGTACTAATTATTGCATTACATAAAGGGATTAATTGCTAAGATAGCGAGGGTTTTGTCAGTTTTCTTGGCTGCTCTGGGCTTTGTGTTTTATTTTGGGTTGTTGTTTTTTTGTCCTGCAAGGGACAGGCCCTTCCCCCTCTCCCCAGCCGCCTCCCCAACCCAGCCCTGCCCTGTTCTGAGAGGGTTAATCGAGATGAGTGACAGCCTTTCTGCATGATTTACAACTTGGAACCCTGTAGTGAAACCAGCGCTTGATGGATGATCCTGAAAGACGGAGACTAACCATAAATCATGTCTTTGAATCATTGACAAAGATAAAGGAGGGGAAGAAAAAGCACTGGCATTGACATTCATTCTCCCAATAATGTACATTGACTAGTTACAATACAGAACCTTAATTAAAAAAAGACGACTCTGGAGTCGTCACCTCAGTGTGCAGGGAGCACTGCCACGGACTCGTTCACCGCAATGGCAAATAAAAGTTCAAGCTTCATCCTAAAGCCTGCAGCGTTTGTCAAATGGAAACAGGAAACTTAGTTTACATATGGGACAGCCAAACGAAAAGTCTACAGCTCACATCTAGTCATCATCCTAAACCAGGGATGGAGAAGCTGTGGCCCTCCAGATGTTGTTGGAATCCAAGTCCCATCAGTACCAGCTAGCATAGTCATTGGTCAGGGACAGTTGTAGTCCACAGTCATCATGTTGGGCAAAACGTCCCACATTCACTCCCATGACTGAGGCAGGCACACTCTACAAGGGCATCTGGAGCACCTCCTTCTTGTTGACTTGGTGATAGTGATGCATTCTGGAGAGCTTTGCTGGTGGTCTCCCTCTTCACCTAGGGGTCAGGGTGGTGGCAGAAGAAGTGTCATGGTGAGTGGTGCATTCCCACCACCTAAGGTGGCTGCTTCACCCTGCCCCATGAGTGGGCCGGCTCTGTGGGGGACCCTCTGGAATAATTTAGGATGTGCCATGGTGCTTTTCCTTGTGCACGTAGAAACACTCTTTTAACCAGTTGCAATGCTGCCCTGGTGAGAGTGGAACAAAGTACTGCTTGTACAACAGGATTTCCCTCCTGTCCCCTGTCCTGCCATACCCCGTAGAACAGGGGTCTGCAACCCGCGGCTCCGGAGCCGCATGTGGCTCTTTTACACCTTTGCTGCGGCTCCGGGGCGGATACTAGCGAGGGGAGAAGGCGCATTGTGCGCCCCGACACTCCCCACTGTGGCGGGTGCTGTACTGGCTGTGACGTCGCATGGGGGCGGTGCGTGCGTTAGTCCCCCTGCCCGCCCGCTACATTGTAAGGGGCATGTACGCTGGTCACTGTTTTGAAGGGGAGTGAAGAACACACACACAAAAAAAGGTAACTTGTTAATTTAACATTTATTTCTAGGAGGAGGAGTAATTCTGAGGGGTCAAACAAAGAAATAATAAAAAAGTGTCAAAAAAGTTATTTTTATAATGACGAGTTTTGCGGCTCCCAGTTTTTTTTTCTTCGGAAACGGGTCCAAGTGGCTCTTTTTGTCTTAAAGGTTGCAGACCCCTGCCGTAGAAGAAGAAGAAGAAGAGTTTGGATATGATATCCCACTTTATCACTACCCTAAGGAGTCTCAAAGCGGCTAACATTCTCCTTTCCCTTCCTCCCACACAACAAACACTCTGTGAGGTGAGTTGGGCTGAGACTTCAAAGAAGTGTGACTGGCCCAAGGTCACCCAGCAGCTGCATGTGGAGGAGCAGGGAAGCGAACCCGGCTCACCAGATTACGAATCTACCGCTCTTAACCACTACACCACACTGTGTATTCTCAGGGTTGGGGGAATTGTGCAGAGCAGATTATGGAAGCTTTGAATGGGTGTGGAAAGTCCCATAGCATGAGCTAAAGTAAAATGCTACATCTGAAGTGACCCTTGGTACAGCATTCAATATTTGCCAACACAGATATTTAAGCATCCATAACAAAATCACACCCGTTTAAGTCAAATCAACTTGTTTTGGATAGATCCTATTAATCTTTCCATTCCAATGCTGTCATTTGCCACCAAACACAACCAGGAAATTCCATGGGGGATGAGAGCGACCTCTTTTTTCTTTTCTCTCCCCCCCCACTTTCTCTGCCCCACCCCCACCCCATACACACAATTCTTCATTCTTAGAAGAAAGTGTTGAAAGGCTTTAGATTATACTTTTAAGGAAACAGGGATTTAACAGATCTATCATTTGGTAAATCACACACATATGATGTCAGTGCCAAACTACAGAAACATTAGACCCACATCATCTATCAATCTCACCGTTGCATGTCATTTATGAAAGCCTACTGAGTATTGCTTACATCTCACCACGCAACAAGCGGCAAGTCCTCATGAATACTGAAGAGCTCACTAAGCACAGCACACCTTTTGTTTCTATAGACTCAGACACTTTGGAGCGGTACAATTTCGTTCCTGTAAAATGCATTTCCAAGGAATGGTCCCTAGCCTCTTCCAGCTCTCTGCTTTTTCCGTGCATAAATGACAAAACAGCTTTGCCTTTTAGCATTAGTAACACTTATGTTGGCACAATTTCAGCTCCTTACTAAATACTGTCAATTTTAACCATTAATATGGGCCTATATTAGTATTTCATGCATACTGTTTATTTATCGTTATTATTTCCTGCTAAGGAGCGTCAATCTATTTAAGAAAACCCAACATTACATCTTTTCACATTCATATTTGTATTTTGAAGCTTTTAGCCTGCATCATTCTGAATATACTTTGCTTGTTTGTTTGTTTTGTTTTGTTTTGTTTGAAGAGTAAAATGTCTGTGAAACTTCAGAAGGGTGTTGTTTGGTTGCAGAAAAACCAACAAAATATCTTGTTAAAGATTCACAGCATCTTACCATTTTGTACAGTACAGTCCCAAGGCATTCGGCTGCCTTAGCAGCTGCATCTTACTCCCATGTTGGCAATGGGATGGCATCCTCCACACGGCCGCCAAGGAGAGTAGGCTGGTTTTAGTGGGCAAATGGCAGTCTGTGTGGCATCAGGCTCTGATCTCCAACAGAGGGGAGTGACCAGGCAACTTAGGATGAACAGCTGAGAGCAGAACTGCCTCTGTATCTGCTACTTCAAGCAACTGCCTCACGAAGGGGCTAACAGGATATGCCTCTAAAACTGCCATATACAGATTCAGACCAGCTACTCAGTATTGTCTGATCTGAATAACCAGGTATCCCATTCCTGTGACTTAAGATGTTTTGGCTGCCTATCTCAGGGCTCGACTTTGGGAGGTTTTGCAGAGAAAGGTGTGACTCTTCCACTTTCCTGATAAAAAAGGCTATTTCCCGCGGACTTTCATAGCGTTGTACAGGAAACCCTCGATTTATGTGGGGATCGTGATCCATGTTAGAGACCGTTCTGCCCCTGCCCCCCCCCGCCACCCCCTTTTCTGGCCACTTCTGGGTTGCTGTGATGTGCACGGTCGAGGTCGCACGTCAATTTGACATGTGCAAATCAATCATTGCCTGTAATTCATTGGTCTTTACAATGCAAAGCCATCAAGAAACAGGCCATTATAAGCCATCAAATGCTCCCTTATTGGTGTGATACCATTATTCAAAACCCATGTTGTTGTTGTTTAGTCGTTTAGTCATGTCCGACTCTTTGTGACCCCATGGACCAGAGCACGCCAGGCACTCCTATCTTCCACTGCCTCCCGCAGTTTGGTCAAACTCATGCTGGTAGCTTCGAGAACACTATCCAACCATCTCGTCCTCTGTTGTCCCCTAAGGATGATACGTTTCTGGAACATCTTCAGGACAATGGAATTGCATAGGTGTTAGGCAGCTACTAAGAATAGTTATTTGCTAAAGAACTGCAACAGATAAACTTCTTGTAACAGATGAAGATATAATGTGGTAGAAAAGGTTCGATTAAAAGCACTGCAGAGGTGGGAGTGGGAAGACAATTTATGAAACAATGTAACTATTTAATACAAAGATTATTGTAAAAATGTTTGAAAAGTTTAATAAAAAAGGTATACTACAAAAAAAAAGAGTGGTTCTTTGTTTACTTTTGCTGCATGAGCAAAGTTCACTGACGACATTGATATGGGTCAAAGTGGAGAAGGCGTTCTATTAAGAAAAGCTGGATTTTGCTGTTGGGGCACCCCCAGTGTTTCATCTTCATTATGTACTTACAATTCTTTTGCATTACAAGAATGAATATGCAGGTGAACTCATAAAACAAAATGAAACACCAACAATAGACACACTTTCTCCATAGCCTTATGAGCCAGAAGCGAAAGCGATTTTCCTTTGAAGCCGAGGTTCTCAGGATGCTGACATTTGAGCATAAGACCAACTCATGTGTGGTAAAGAGCTACTGACACATTGAAACAAGGAAGCCTTGCAAAACAGCCTCATAAGATAATAGTGGTCCCCCAGGGATGTGCAGTGCACACCTCTCCCAGATGCTTTCCTCTTTCAGTAATTGGTGCAGTATGAGACCTGGACATGGGGGAAGCAGTGTGTTAGCCTACCCTTGCTTGGGATGACCTGATCATGAAGATTTGATCGAGCATCATCTCCTTCAGAAGTGTCTTAATATGGACAGCCGTTCTAGTTGGATAGCATTATTTGGCAAATGCAGTTCATTTCACAATAAAACAGCCCCATGGTAGATGCCATCAGTTTTCCATCAAAGCCATTCCTTTCCCTTTCTGACCCTATAACCTTCACTCTTGCACCTAGCTTGGCAATGATAACCACATTTCCCCCCCAATGCTTGCAAAGCCTGGCTCTGGAGGCAACTTGGAATAAAAGCATAAATCCAAAAGAAATGCTGTAAACTCATTGTCAGGTAGCAATTAGGGAAGGCAAAGTAATGTGCTCAGAGGTATATTGTGGGTAGGCATCCAGCAGATAAAATACCAAAAAAACCCTCTGCCAAATTATGTGAAACCCTCTGGTCTAAAAATCAGATTGCAAAATCGTTTGGCAACATGTTGTCCTTGCACTGTTTCCAAGATTTTGCATTAGGAGAAGAAAGGTTTATGGGAATTCAGATACCGAAAGGATAGATTCAATTGCACTTTTCCCCCTTCAGTGCGTATGCCAAATGAAATCAGGAAGAGCAGGGGGGAAATGAGCGAATTCCCGCCAAGAACTCAGCTTTGGCTTGAAAGGTGGCGGTGTGTCCAAAGATGAGAGGGACGGAGATGGTTATTCTTTTTGGCAAGCAAAGTATGTTTTGGCTATTGCTAGTCCGCAACTAATGGACTGACAGAATTAGAAAGAGGCCAAACATTGTTAAGGCCAAACTCCCTTTGCCATCGACTCACCAGCTTCTCACAAATCAACACACATAAACCTGACCCCTGAGCACCAGACATACAATCAGACATATTTGAGTGGTGAACTTGCTGTTGATCTACACTTAATCCCTTTAGAGCAGGAATATCCAAAATGGTACCTTCCAGATGTTAGAACTGTAGAGTTGGAAGAGACCTTGAGGGTCATCGAGTCCAACCCCCCTGCAATGCAGGAACCTCAACACATGGACTCACAACCAATTTGAAACCATACCAAACTGTGCTTTGCTTTGCAACTCCCATCAGCAATCCCTATTAGCCATGCTGGCTGGGGCTGATGAGAGTTGTACTCCAACAAGGGCGCCGACTCCCCCCCCCCACATTTCGGGGGTCCATTACGTGACGCATCACCCCTACCTAGCATGCCAGTGCTCATGTGCCCGGTTGGGATGCGCTTGGCCTCCACCTTCCTGCATGACATTGGGCGGAGAGAAGGAGGCAGAGCGGGGCCACAGGATTTTGGAGGAGCCCAGCCCCCTCCTTGAATTTTTTTTGGAGGGGGCTGAAGACCCCTCAGCCATCCCCTACTTGGCACGCCTGTAGTCCAACAACTTCTGGAAAGCACCACAATGGGTAAAGGTAAAGGGACCCCTGACCATTAGGTCCAGTCGTGGCCGACTCTGGGGTTGGGGTGCTCATCTCGCTTTACTGGCCAAGGGAGCCGGCATACAGCTTCCGGGTCATGTGGCCACCATTACTAAGCCGCTTCTGGCGAACCAGAGCAGCGCACGGAAATGCCTTTTACCTTCCCGCCGGAGCGGTACCTATTTATCTACTTGCACTTTGACGTGCTTTCGGACTGCTAGGTTGGCAGGAGCAGGGACCGAGCAATGGGAGCTCATCCCGTCGCAGGGATTCGAACCGCCGACCTTCTGATTGGCAAGCCCTAGGCTCTGGGGTTTAACCCACAGCGCCACCCAAATCCCACAATGGGTACATCTGTTTTATAGACACAAGCAACCTTTGGGAACTCAGCTGAGGAGAAACCAGCTCTTCCTGTTTCCTGTAGAAGCTGGCTAAGCTATGATGATCACAAGGTTACTCCCCTCCACTTGGAAGTTTGTTTCCTGTTAAACCACAACATCCACCATACTGTGCCAGTACTATAGGCAGCTAGTCTGTTTTAAAATAGCGACCATATTTTGAATTGAGCAAGGGCTGACCTCATATTGGGTCCACCCTCTGCGATGAAATCTGACACACAGCCCAAGGGATCTCAAACACAATTCTTCTTTGAGTGTTCACAGCAGAAGAAGGGAACATGTAGCTTTCTGGATGTTGCTGGTTTCAACCTCCATCAGCCCGAACTAGCACAGCCAATGGGTCAGGGATCATGGGAGTTGTACTCCAATGTCTGGAGGGCCACAAGTTCCCCACCCCTGGTATACAGCAAGAGAAGCTTTAGCATGGCCCTCTTTCTCTGTTGTTCATTTCCATCTGCCTGTGTCTTGGTTGATCTAGAGCAGCTAGGATGGATCAGGAGGGGAAGCCTCTGCCAAAGGCTCTCAAGCTGTTTACATTCAGGAGAGGTGGGCTGTCTGTGCCTCAGTTCAGGAAAAATTCCTCTAGTAATCAAGCTTTGAGGGGAAAGATTTAGCAATCCTTCAGTAATTGAGCCATGAGAGTGGGGGCAGAGCAATGGATCTGACTGTTGTTTTGCACACCAGGCTAGATTCTAGCCACATGAAAGCTAGACGTTCCTTGTACACACACATGCACACAAATCCCCTTCATGCTCAACAAGCATGAGGGGCTATCACAGCTGAGGAACACATTCTAGCCAGGCAAAAGCACTCAGTGAAGGTGGGGAGCAGGAATGGTGGGCAGGGGTCAGGCCTGACATCCCCACTCCTGCTTATCTTCTCACTCTGAAATCATGATACATTCTTGCCTGAGATTTGTTCATGGCCAGCTGGCAGCCCATCATTCTTTTATCTCTTGCGCTGTCTGCTAAACCCTGTCTGACGCAGGCTCCACAGAGATGTTGGTGCCGTAACGTTTTATTGAACGGGGTTATATACAACTCCTTGAAAGTGTTCTAAAGACAGGCCTGCCACAGGATTTCATCTGATCTAAGAAGAAGGTGAGGGGAGAATTTGGAAGCTGGGTTGTTCTTATGCTGGTTAATTATTATGCCTGAATGCAACACAGGGTGGATCTACACACCGGGGGAGGGGGAGCTATAAATAAGTCAGAAATTAAACTGTTATAACAACAACAACAAAAAACCTGTGTAAAAACCGCATAGAAAATTTGTTTGCTCTCCGGTGCCATCTGGTGTTGCATGTTTATAATGCATTCAAAGTGTTGTTTTTACTAACATAGCTGAGTCCACACTCTCAGCCTTCTTTGACCCAAATAGTAAGCTATTGAAGAATACTTCTGCTCCTGTTATGATAGTGTGAGTGTTTTATGTAAATAGTGCCAGTGATTATAATGGCCATGAACTTGGCTAGCAAAAAAACCTCCATACAAACCCCAAAACAAAAGTCAAGCCCACTCCCACTGCAACCAAATAGACGTCAACCTGGAAGTACGTATGGATTGAAACTGTTGGTGTTCCCCAAAGGAGCAGGAGAGATAACTTGCATACAGATAGGCTACAAGGTTTAATCCTAAAAAACAACAAAACCCTGTTGTTTGCTTAAAATGAGAAGCAAGATGGTCCTTGAAGAAAAAAAACACCATGCCCACACAACCTTATAAACACAAACAGAAAACACCCACCCCCACCATGCTGTGAGTGGCATGAAAATGTGAGCATTTTAGCTGTTGAAGTGAAGGGCCTTTTGTAATTTCTCAGAAGGAATCTGTAGGCTCAATCTGCTGCTATTTGTCCTGACAGTTTAACTGCTGAGACAAAACTCAGTGCCAGAATTTCAGCATACTCCCACCGATCGGAAACAAGGAACAGAGAGTCTTCTGAAAGTGTATCCATTTGCACAATATTAATTAGGCTCATTATTAGGGATGGGCAGGACCAGTTGGTTCTATTCCAGGAAGTTCTGGAAGAAAAGGAGGATGGTGCCTCTCTGCTGTGCCAAAAGCTCTGGAGATCACTGCAGAAGACAGATTGAGTTTTTGCAACATGGCATGGGCAGTGCTAGACCCTTCCTTTACATGCTCTGTGTGGTGAGGGGTTCAGTATTCTAGTGTCTCCTTGCTGCTCTGGAGGCCACGGGCAAATAAGACATCTACTTTGCATGCTGGAGGACTCCAGTGGGACAAGAGAGCAGATAAAATGTGTACTCCTCCATACACCAGTGACTTCTGGTTATTTGGGCCTGATCCCAGTTGTATACTAGCTTCTGTCCAAGGCTCCAACACAGATACAGACTGGATTGGAATTTGGTGACATCTCTACCCATTGTGAGTCCAGACTCAATCTGATGGAATATCTGAACTTCTGAAGACCAAGAACCTGACAGAAGACCAAGAACTGGAGACTTGACTGAAACAGATAATTCAGCTGTGACTGAAGACCATCAACTTTATTGAAGTAAGGCAAGATAAAAAGGATTCAGATACCTCAGAAGGAAAAGTTCAGGGCTTCTACATAATTATAGCTTGAACAAAAAGAGGATCATTAGTTGCCCAAAAGCCATTTCTAATGTCTCTTCAACAAATGCAATAGATTTAGTTCAAGGGATAACCATCCAAAATCATATTTCACATAATCTCAGTGGTAGGGTGGGCAAATGTCCTACAGTACAAAGGACAAACATTGGTCAGCCATCTCTTAATTTTTTTAAGGTAAGAAAGAGATAAATCCACACCCCTGTCATAATGGATTATATAGAAAAGCATCCATAAAAAGCTCCTGGACTTATTTGTCTGCAATTTGACAGGCTTAATACATGCTGTCTGTAAATTTCATCCACTTTGGCCAAAAGAAAGGGAGGGCGGAGAGGTTATGGCCATCTGTAGATGCTCCATCGAATAGGGTAACACAGGTTTGTTTTCTACAGAGTGGCTCAGACTGAAGTGGAGAATTTGCAGAGTCGGAAATGGAACATAAGTTTTTAAAATGCAGAGATACAGTGAGAAGAGAGTCTTGGGGTCCTTACCAAAAATAGATTCAAAATGAACTAGGACAATGCTTCTCCATTATCTGGAGAAGGGACTTCCTGTGCCTTTTTGAAGCTACTTCTGGGTGTACCCTGAAGCTTGTGTGGCTCTACATTTGTCAGTAGAGGCCAATTACAGTTGTTCTGGCTTCACTCATTGACTAAAATAGTGAGATGCAGGCATGGCCAAACTTGGCCCTCCAGCTGTTTAGGGACTACAACTCCCATCATCCCTAGCTAACAGGACCAGTAGTCAGGGATGATGGGAATTATAGTCCCAAAACAGCTGGAGGGCCAAGTTTGGCCATGCATGATCGAGAGCAAGGAGCAGGCTCATAGTTCCCCAAGCAAACACGTTGGATAGTGCCTGCAGATTTTTCTTCATAACTTTTGTCCTAAAGGGAATAAGGATTTACTTTTTTCTTTGTTAAAGAAAGCTCAGAGATTGGGCCTTTGGTGGCTTTGTACACATGTATTTTCTGTATCTCCCTCTCTTGGCAGGCCTAGTTGCCACTCTTGGCCCACTGGAATGGGTTAAGTCTGAAGCGTTCTAGGAACTCTGACTTGAAAGACTGGCCCCATGACTGCGGGAACATTTGGGGATTGTGATTTGTTCCTGAAAGAAAGTCATTCTGTACACACAGAGGGAAACTCCATTTGTTTATAAGCTGATTACTATTATATTATATATATTATATTATATATACACTTTCCAGCCAACATGAGTTCCCAAAACAATTACAAGAATTAAAATCTATTGCAGAAATACATTATGCTCTATTAGTGATGTATTTTCCCAACAAACCAACCAGATTGTTGTTCTTTCCCACGAATTGTCCTTACAATAGTATGGCAGCCTCATCTTGCCTCTGGTGGTTAATGGCAGGCGGAAGTTCTAGGGATAACTGCTGAATCTTGAAGCTTCTCCTTGGCACCAGAATGCCAGAATGTCTTGGAACAGCAACAGTAGGAGAAACATAAATTGTATAGGACAGTCTTGACCACAGCCAGTAATCTGGTCATCTGTGGCGAGTCAATATGACCCCTCAGGCAACCAGGCAGAGATACCTTCATACACTGGAAGAATGCTGGACTGCTTTGTTTTTCTTCTTTCACATCTTCAATGTGCCACAAATGACCCAAACAGGTAAATGTGGGCTGGACTAGTAGATTCTGGTCTACTATGAAACTAGTATGGTTTCTGTTTCTGTTTCTGTTTTTGTTTTACATCCAAAAAGTTGACTGCTTTGATCAAAGAGCAACACTCCGGAGTGTCACACAACTCTGTGTGGTTGCATACACCTTATCCACGAGCAAAACTAAACATGGCGCTTAATGTTTTGCTCGGACAAGTGCATGTGTTTGAAATGAAAAGCAGCCCCATAGGCTGATACTGGGAGCAGAAAGAAAGGCAGGAGAGACAGGGCTGTCATTCTTCCCCTTTGTACTTTTCCTGGTCTCAATCATAGCCTCCAAGGCTGATTTTTATTTTATTTTTATTTTTATTAAAAAAAAACCACTGGCAAAAAAGGATCATGGAACTGTATCTTTCTTGTGTGTATCTATCTTCAGACTTTGCCATTGCTCCTCGAAACCTTTGGCATGAATAAAACAGCTTGTTTCTCCCCCTACACACACTCTCACACACCTTTCATCATTTCCCATCCTCTCACCTTAAAAACAGCCTTGAGAGCTCTTCAAGCAAAGGTAGCCATGTGGAGCCAGAGCTCTTTCCAGATTTATACAGGCCCTTTGCTAGCATCCTGTCGGGTGTTAAAAATCCCTCAGCTGCTTTGTTAGGACCACCCGGCTAGTTCTGAACCACATCTGACAAAATGATACTGTTCACTTCCAGAACCCATCACACAGTTATTCTTGGATAAAAGGTAAAGCAAATAGCAGCCAACTGCTCACTGCTGCAGAAACAAAGACCATCAAGCTATTTATCAAAGCTCCAGACAACCGGTTTTCTCTAAGCCCAGCCACCTCTCCTATTACAGCTTTAAACGATAACACGCTATAATATCACAAATGACAAATGGAACCGGGGGGCCTAACCTATACGCGATCAATATCTGCTCTAAAATAAGAACCATCTTTAAAGTATTGACAAAAGGAGCAGGGATACATATAAAACAGCAATTCTCGTACTATTTGTTTGGTATGGCCAGTGTCAACATTCATTTGTCCATGACAGGGGTGTGTGTGTGTGTGTGTGTGTGTGTGTGTGTGTGTGTTTTAATGGCAGTGGCAAAACCCCAAGATGTGTAAGTTGTGTTAAATCGTTATTATTACTGCCCAGTATCTACTGCTTATTGGGAGGCAAGCAGGATGAATTAGTGCTTCAATAATAGCTTCTTCCTCAAGTGGTTTTGGCACTTTCCCCTACACAAACTCTTCCATTATAATTACTTTTGGTCTGAATATTCTCAAACATTTTTCATGTGAAAGAAGGAACTTTTTTTGGGGGGGGATGGCCTACCTGATGCCCCTTTTGACAGCAAGTTGGGTACAATTTTTTGAACCGCTCATCATCCATCTGGCTGCACAG